GAGTTTGGATTCTCATGTTGATTCTAGGATGGCCAGAAGTAGATGTATGATTTGTATATGATTATCAGTTTTTGTCTAGTTTGCTGGTGAGCGGTGGAATAATCAATAAACTGAGCCATATGTGATTCCAAATCTTTAAGAAAAAATTGTGTCAAGACTCCAAAAGTAAAACATTTATGTGCTGCAGCCCCTCCATTTTTTTCTATATGGTTCAGCTCCAAAAAATATCACATCATGTGTTGTAGCTTTTTTTCATGTCATTATCATGCTAAACTAAGCACAAAGAGAGAGAGACAAACATAAAAACCCAAAATGCCTTCATTTCCTCCTCCCTATTCATTCTCTCCAGATCTATCATGTTAGGTCTAGTTTGATTCATATTAGTTTAATTTAATTCCTTTTAAGTCTAATTTAAATTATGTTAAATCTAGTTTAACTTGTTTTAGGTTTAAAAATAAGTTGAATTAGAGTTAACATGAATCATGTTAAGTCTAATTTAACATGTTTTAAGTTTAATTTTATGTTAAGTCCAATTTATTTCATGTTAAGTCCAATTTGATTCATATTAAGTCCAGTTTGATTAATGTTAAGTCTAATTTAATTTTTTATGTCTAATTTAAATCATGTAATGTATTATTTAACTTATTTTAAGTTTAAAAATAGGTTGAATTAGACTTAACATGAATTCAACTTAACATGAATCATGTTAAGTCTAATTGAACTTATTTAAAGTCTAATTTCAATCATGTTAATTTTCTTATAAGTCTAATTTAAATCATGTTAAATCTAATTTAACTTTTTAAAGTCTAATTTCATGTTAAGTCCAATTAAATTAGACTTAAAACAAGTTAAATTAGACATAAAAGTCTAATTTCATGTTAAGTCCAATTAAATTAGACTTAAAACAAGTTAAATTAGACATAACATGATTTAAATTAGACTTAATGTTAAGTCCAATTAAATTAGACTTAAAACAAGTTAAATTAGACATAACATGATTTAAATTAGACTTAATATGAATTAAATTGGATTTAACATGAAATTGGACTTAAACAAATTGAATTAGACTTAACATGAATTAAATTAGACCTTGAAACAAGTTGAATTAGACATAATGTGATGTAAATTAGATTTAAAATGAATTAAATTAGACTTAACATGAATTAAATTGAACTTTACCTGAAATTAGACTTTCATGTTTAGTCTAATTTAACTTACTTTTAGACTTAACATGAAAGAACAGAGGAGATAAGGGCATTTTAGGATTTTTTATTTTTTATTTTCTCTCTATGTTTAGTTGGCAGGTAATAATTGCTAAATAAGGGTTGCAGAATATAGATCTCCAATTTAAGGGCTAAAACATATAGGAAAAAAATCAAAGGGGCTGCAGGACATTAAGTTTTTGCTTTTGGGGCCTTAACACAATTTTCCCAATCTTTAATCACTTATAATTCCCTATCTCCTTGAAGTCACTTTTGCTTGACGTGTGGGAAAACAACTTATCGAAAAGAATGTCAAAATTAAAAAGGAAATTATAGAAACAGATTTGCAGAAAATGTCTAAGAATAAAACTCATAATTTCCTTCCTCGCTTTCCTTCTCTTCTTCCTAATTGGTTTGGGGTATGAAAACTATTGCTCTGCAGGCTGTTTTTGTTTTTCCTAATGACATGTTTGTTTGTACGGAAGTAGCAAAAAAGTAACTGAACTAGAGGAAGTTTCTCCTACTTCAAGCAAAAAATTATGTTTGTTTCTCCGAAAAGATTTTTTCAGCTACTTGCATAAATGCAGATGTGACGTCTAGATGACACTCCTATTTTTTAATTTTTTTTCTACCCTTGAAAGCTCAGAAGTAGAGGGGAAGTGGATAAAAAATGGGGTCCACTTAAATTAGAGATTTACCAAGGGCAGATGATCTTAAATAATATATCCAATTTCTATCCAAACAAACAAATAAATAAAAGAAGATGATGAAGTACTATTTTCGCTACTTCTAAAAATATATGAAACAAACAAAATCAATACTACTTCCGCTACTTTCTACTTCATAATTAAGGAAGTTACATCTTTGATTCACTTATTACTTCTAATAGTTACGTCCATCCAAACGGGCCCCAAGAGGAAGAGAAGGAAAATGAAAAGAGATGGAATGAGAAAAAGGAAATATTAAAAAAATTAAAATAAAAACTCGCTCAAAAGAACAAAAATAAATACCTGATGTTCTTGACTGTAGTTAGGTAGCAGGGTAGTCATTGGAGAAGAGTGGAGATGTAATATATGGATAAGTAACCTCTTTTCGTGGTGGACTACTAGCAGCCTAAGCAATCTAGGGAACATAGGTAGGTTGGAAGGGCTGATAGAAGATAGGTTTACAGTTGACTGCATAAACCATTGTTGAGAACATTATTATCAGTGTTTTAAATATCGGCCGACATGTCGGACATGTCGGCCGATATAGCGGATTGAGGGGTCCAACGACACAAATCGGGGAAAAACAAGTCGCATATCGTTTTTTACCGACATATCGGCCATATCGGCGAAAAATCGGCCATATCGGCCGATTTTCTTGGTTTGGAAACCGGCCATATCGGCCGATTTTCCTGTTTTTTCTTTTTTTCTTCTTCACACGTGAATGTTTGGTTTGTGGACTATTTTGATTAATAATAGGCTAATGATTACTTGATGTTTGATCACTTGATTAATAATAGGCTAACTGATTAATAATAGGCTAATGATTATTGATTAATAAGGAGAGATTTATTTTATTTTAAATGTGCATATGAATGTTGAAATGTGCAGAGTCATGAAGTTATGAATTTAGGAATGCTTAGATAGTTAGATTACATTTAGGGCATGATATTATACATATGTGGATCACCCGATATGGCAATCCGATATTTAGTCCATGTCCCCCGATATATCCCCGATTTCCGCTATCCGACATGGATTTCAGCCGTCCGACATGAACCCGACATCCGATATTTAAAACCTTGATTATTATATACTTGCCTCAGTGTGTTGAACTGAATCCACTAGGCAAGATCTACATTTTTTGGTAAATTAACAATTTGGAAGCCTCTCGCCTATAGGTTATGAAGATTTTGAAGGAGAAATAATCTTCTTTTTTAATCAGAAATAAGTACACTATTTATATACAGCTTCTGCTCAACTAAATATAGAAACTACCTCCTATAAATCAGCAACAATAAAAACAGAATAAATACTAATTAGGAAATCCAGTTCCTACGGATTTCCTGATTTCATAATATTTACAAAAATAGGAAACTAACTCCTAACTTTGAGGAACTAAATATTCAACACTCCCCCTCAAGTTGGGTTGTACATGTTGTACATGCCCAACTTGCTACACAATCTCTCAAAGTTAGGTCCTTGAAGGGCCTTCGTGAGGATATCTGCACACTGCTCCCGAGTTGGAGTGTATATTACTTGCATTTCAGAATTTTCTATCTTCTCTGCAATGAAATGTCTATCAATCGTAACATGCTTAGTTCGATCATGATGGACTGGATCCTTTGCAATACTGATGGCTGCTTGGTTATCACATTTGAGCTTCACAATCTCTCCAAAAACCATACCCAGTTCTGCCATTACTCGCCTGATCCATATCCCTTCACAAATTGTAACTGCAAGTGCCCTTAGCTCTGATTCAGCACTACTCCTGGAGACAACAGACTGCTTTTTACTTCGCCATGTCACAAGGTTTCCCCATACAAAGGAGCAATAACCTGTAGTTGATCTGCTATCTATTTGACTTCCTGCCCAGTCTGCATCCGAGTATAGGATTACATCTCGATAGTCAGTTTTCTTAAAAAGTAAACCCTTTCCAGGAGTCCTCTTTAGGTACCTGAGGATTTGGTGCACTGCCTCCATGTGTTCTTCCATCGGATTGTTCATGAACTGACTAACTGTGCTTACTGCAAAGCCAATGTCTGGCCGGGTATGGGAAAGGTAAATGAGTTTCCCTACCAGACGTTGGTATCTCCCTTTATCTACAGGAACTCCTTCACGTCCGAGCTTTTTCTTTGAGTCCATTGGAGTACTTGCTGGCCTACAGCCAAGCATACCAGTTTCTTTTAGTAAGTCTAAGGTGTATTTGCGTTGTGAAACAAATATACCTTCCTTTGATCGAGCCACTTCCATTCCTAGAAAGTACCGAAGAGGACCAAGATCTTTGACTTCAAATTCTTCAGCCAATGCATGTTTGATCCTTGCTATTTCTTCCACATCATTCCCAGTTAGAATGATATCGTCCACATAGACAATAAGAATGGCCAGCTTGTTCACTGAGGAACGTTTCACAAACGTGTGATCAGCTTGACACTGGGTAAAACCGTGTCCTTTTACTGACTTTGAGAACCGGCCAAACCATGCTCTAGGAGATTGCTTTAGCCCATATAGAGACTTCAACAATTTACACACCTTTGTACTGTTATAACTTGTCTGAATTCCAGATGGAATCTCCATGTAGACTTCTTCTTCAAGATTCTCATTTAAGAATGCATTCTTGATGTCCAGTTGATGAAGTGACCAGTCTAAATATGCAGCCAAGGATAGAAGTATTCGGATAGTATTAAGCTTCACAACCGGAGCAAACGTCTCTTGATAGTCAATTCCATAGGATTGTGTGAAACCCCTAGCAACCAGCCGTGCCTTAAGCCTCTCAATGCTTCCATCTGCCTTGTGCTTCACCGTGAATACCCATTTGCAGCTTACTGGTTTCTTTCCTGGTGGAAGGTCAGTAATAATCCATGTACCATTTCTTTCCAATGCACTAATCTCCTCTTGAACTGCATGTTTCCAACCTTCATGATTAAGGGCCTCTTGGATATTAGATGGAATTCGGACTTCATCCAATCTTGAGAGGAATGCTCGGTAAGTCCATGACAGTTTTGCATAGGAGAGAAAATCTTTAATCGGATGTTGAGTGCATGTTCGAGTACCTTTCCTGAGGGCAATAGGCAGCTCTAAGTCTTCTACTGTTTGAATCTCCTCTTGCTCTTGACCATTCTTCCCTCCTGTATGAGTTTCTACAGTTGTTGGATCCGCTTCAGAATCTTGAACAGGTGTGAGATGTGCTATGGGTTCAACCTCCCCCTGAGTTTGCCTCCGCTTTCTTGAATAAACCTGTAATTCCTTAGTTGCTGATTGAGGCTGAGGCATGGGTGAAAATGGCAGATCAGATGTAGGAGCCGACTCACTAGCTGGACACAAAGAATGATGGTCAAGAATGGATTGACTTGGAATAGATTCAGAGTTTGGTGGTGGCTGGAGACTTGGGACAAGTAGGGAATCCTTGACAAGTAGGGAATCCCAACTCCAAGGTTGAAATTCTGTTATAGTCTCCCCCTGAATTTCAGTCTTGGAAAAATAAGGATTGTTCTAAAAAAATGTGACATCCATGGTTTCAAACACCCTTCGAGTAGTAGGACAGAAACATTTGTACCCCTTTTTATTTGTGGAGTAACCAATGAAAACACACTTTGTAGACCGTGGATCAAGTTTGCTTCTATTTTGTGGATAGACATGGACAAATGCCGAGCATCCAAATACCTTTAGTGGCAGATTGGATGACAGGAACCGGGCATGGGGGAATAGATTGATAAGGACTTGACGAGGTGTTTTAAACTGAAGGACTCTAGATGGTAATCTGTTTATGAGATATGCCGAAGTAAGAATAGCTTCCCCCCATAGGTATTTTGGTACGGTGGTGGAAAACATAATCGAGCGTGCCACTTCCAATAAATGCCTATTTTTCCTCTCCGCTACCCCATTTTGTTGTGGGGTATTGACACATGAACTCACTTGGACTATCCCTTGTTTAGACAAGTATTCTCCCAGGACATAGTAGTAATATTCCCTAGCATTATCAGACTTTAGGATTTGGATTTTGGTACTAAATTGAGTTTGAACCATTGAATTGAATGCTTGGAATATTCTTGCAACCTCAGATTTTTCCTTCATAAGGAATACCCACGTAAGTCTTGTATGATCATCAACAAAAGTCACAAACCACCGTGCTCCATTAATGTTTTTAATTTTGGAAGGTCCCCAAATATCACTATGAACAAGGGAAAAAGGTTTTGATGGTTGGTAGGAAACCCCCGGATAGACAGATCGAGTATGTTTTGCAAATTGGCATATCTCACAATTGAAAAATTTTGGATTTTTATTGATGAACAAATGAGGAAATAACTTCCCAAGGTACAAGAAATTAGGATGTCCTAATTGATAGTGCCACATCATGATCTCACTATCTTTATTGACACTAGAACTAGAATTAAATTGACTCATAACAGACTGACTAGTAGATAGACTTATAGTAGCAACTAAGGCCTGTCCAGGTTTGGGAGGCTTGAAGAGGTATAGTCCAGAACACATCTCAGCACTGCCAATCTTCCGCTTCGAACCCAACTCCTGAAAAACACAGACATTAGGGAAAAAAATGGTTAAGCAATGGCTATCACGAGTCAATTTGCTGATGGAAATCAGATTGCAATCAAGATTAGGAACATAAAGCACAGATTTGAGAATGATTGCAGGTGATATTTGAATTGATCCAGTCCCGGCTACTTTAGACAAAGTGCCATCAGCAATCTTCACCGTGAGATTAGAGTGACACGGTTGATAGTCACATAACAGCATCCTATCTCCTGTCATATGATCTGATGCTCCTGAGTCAATAATCCACTGTTTTGAGTGTAATTTACCTGACTTTGCATGTAAACTAGTGGCTGGTGCAGCAGTAGCGTGCTGTGTTAGGGTGTTGTTCAGCAGCGTTTGTAGCATGTCTAGTTGTTCCTTGGTGAAGGGGCTGGACTTGATTGTGCATTGTTGTTCCTCAGTAACATTGGATGAGTTTGCATGGCTATCTTGGGCTGGTCTGTTTGGCTTCCAATCCGCTGGTTTGCCATGTAACTTCCAACATGTCTCCTTCGTATGACCGGGTTTAGAGCAGTGGTCACACCAAGGACGCCCTTTCCTTGGCTGGCGATTGTCTATGGGAGCTGGAGGCCGTGATTTACGAGCAGCAAAAACAGATCCATCTGTGTTTGGAGGCGGTGGCGGGTTACCCAACATTACCCTCTTCCTACTTTCTTCTCGACGAACTTCTGAAAACGTCTCCCGAAGGCTTGGAAGAGGTTTTGTTCCCATTATTCTTCCTCTAACATCATCTAAACTTTTATTCAGACCCAACAGAAATTTAAATATTCTTTTCTGCTCTACTATCTTACGATATAATGCATTGTCCTCCGGACATTTCCACTCATAAAACTCAAACATATCTAACTGCTGCCAATGACGAGTTAGTACATTAAAGTATTGAGTTACCGTTAATTCTCCTTGACGAAGATCATGAAGAACTGTCTCCACCGCGAATAGTTCTGACGTATTTTCAGAACTAGAGTAGGTTTCTTTCACTGCCTCCCATATTTCTTGAGCCGTTTCATATAGAAGAAAATTTTCACCAATATCCACATTCATTGAATTGATGAGCCATGCCATGATCTGATGATTCTCGGCCTTCCACTTCTTGTAGTTTGGATCTGTTTTCTCAGGAATTGGGACTTCTCCAAACAAGTAATCTTCTTTTCCTTTGCCACAGATGAACATCCGGACTGATTGAGACCACTGAAGGTAGTTTTGTCCATTGAGTTTATGATTTGTGATGAGGAGAGAGAGGTTTTCAGATGTTCCAGAATTTCCAGAACTATAATGGATCGGATTTGGGTTGGAAAGAGAAGAGGTTTCAGAGATGGAATTGGCTGTTTCATTCGCCATTCCAGTTTTTGCCATAAGAGGAGGAAAAGAAAAAAAACTGAGATTGCCGGAAAGAAGGACGGCTAGGGTTTTTCAGAGTTTCCCTGCTCTGATACCATGAAGATTTTGAAGGAGAAATAATCTTCTTTTTTAATCAGAAATAAGTACACTATTTATATACAGCTTCTTTTAATCAGAAATAAGTACACTATTTATATACAGCTTCTGCTCAACTAAATATAGAAACTACCTCCTATAAATCAGCAACAATAAAAACAGAATAACTACTAATTAGGAAATCCAGCTCCTACGGATTTCCTAATTTCATAATATTTACAAGAATAGGAAACTAACTCCTAACTTTGAGGAACTAAATATTCAACAGGTTAAGAGGAGTGATTAAAGACAAGCGCAAACATAACACAGTTTGCAAAATGGACAGCAGAACATCATCAGCATATGAGCGTTGTCTAGTAAAATGGTTAGATTATGGAGCTAGGTTCCTTTTACCATCACGTGGCTTTACCATTAGAAATTTGTCTTTTTCCATTGCCAGGGGGTAAGGGTCTTATAAAAACCATGTGTTGGTGTTACTTTTAAAGATAATTGGGAACACCATATTAGTGTTGTCTTGTAAAATGGTTAGATTATGGCGCTAGGTGCCTTTTACCATCATGTGGCTTTACTGTTAGTAATTTGTTTTTTACCATTGCCAGGGGTTAAGAGTCTCGTAAAAAACTTGTGTTGGTGTTACTTTTAAAGCTAAGTGCAGTTTTGTCCAATTCTTAAGTGTTTGGTTTCAGAGTTTCCAGAAGGAATCACCTTTGACTTTGATATTCTTAATGATTTGTAGATTAGTCATATAATAAGTATCTTAGTAATAAACTATGGAAGTTCTATTTGATCCTATTGTGACTGAAAATATTCTTGATCCTATTGTTACTGAAAATATTCCCTTTGCAATTTATTTAATGGAAACAGTCTTATCCCTCAAACAGAGTCACGAGATTTTAAAAGTCATGGATTTTAGGATTTCACGTTTATAACGAAACTATTATATAATGGCCTTTTGTTTTCATTTTTCAGATTTAAGCTTGTAATTCCCATGCTTATTTCAATGGTGTTATTGTACTGAAATAAAAAGGGAACAATCGATAGGCTTAGGACTTGTGCATGTTTTTTTCCTTCTCTGATTTAAATTTCATGTTTTTTTTTAAATGTCTATAGGTCCTGTTGGAGAGGACATGTTCCATTGGCAAGCAACAATTATGGGGCCTACTGACAGTCCGTTTACAGGCGGTGTGTTTCTGGTGAATATTCACTTCCCACCTGATTACCCATTTAAACCACCCAAGGTAATTGTTCTATTTCCTTTTGAGTCATATTGGAAGGCAACCTCTGGGATCACTTTCCTATTGAGTCTTAAATGATCTATATCAGCCTCTCTTTGGTATATGAATGTTCCTTCATTACATTTGAATACCAGCGGCAAGCAGTTAGTGAATCAAATTAGAAATTTATTTATACTAATATCATTTGTTTTATTAATTATTGAATTATCTGTAACGATCATAATATTTGTGATATATTTTCATGTCTAAACGTTCGAAACTAATTCATTTTCCCCCAAAATTCTTATTGCTACTTTCCTTGACTACTGATTTATTTTGATAATCATATTGTTTCCAATATAATTTTGTACTTAGGATAGCTTAAACGTTAACTAATAATATAAAGATAGATAGTCTCTACGTGATATAAAGAACCAGTACTTCAAATTTATGTCAGGTCGATGTGCTAATTTATACTCTTGTTTTTTAAATTTGTCATTTATTTGTGAATTTTACTGTTTCTGGATATTTAGTATAACGAAGTATGGTTCCATTAGGCATTAAATATATCATACCATGCCCGAAGTACCTTTAGTACCTATATTTCAATAAGAAAAAGAAGCATGTTACTAGCATAAGATGATGTTTTGAAACCTTATAATCTATGTGGCTTGCTTCTTTTGGTAGAGAGCTAATATGACAAAACTTTAACAATGAGAGAGAATTTTCATTTCCAGGTGGGGCAATTGCCCTACCTAGAATAAAATTGTCTCTGCCCTTGCAATGCTTGCATAAACATCTGTAAGTTTGCATGATATGCTATACAGGGGAAATACTATTGGAAAATGATGCATGGTATGAAAACAATCTAATCCATTGGCTGCTTCACAATTTTAGTTGGTAATATGGCATTATCATCACCATCATCATGAAAACCTTTCTCCATAATATTGAAATTGAGCCCACCTCTTTTAGGCTTGCACTTTAAAAACCATGGAGTCGAGTGGCAAACCTCCAATCTTTTCCAGGATCTAGAGTCTAGAAGAAAGGTCGTATTCCATGATTTGTACAACAGTAGCAAATGAATCTCCGATTTTATTCAATTAACTGGATCCTAGTGGAGATTTGGTTCTTTTTAAGGGGAGGATCAGGATATGGATATATGGGAATCCAACCTAAGAGCATCTCCAACCATGCCCCATTTCCCGCGTCATTTTGGTGCAACGACACTATTCCTTCTCCAACCATGCCCTATTTCCTACGCCATTTTGGTGAAAATGAACAGTGCGACGCCAAAACACTGTTCATCGCTCTATTACTGTTCATCAAGTTATTTTTTACCGTATTTTATTTTCTGTTGTGTTCTTAAATGTAATATTTTGGTAATATCAATAATTAAAATAATAAAATAATACTTTATAATTTTACCCTAATAATATTAATTAATAAAATAATATTTTATTGTAATATTTTATAATATTTTACCCCAATAATATTTTATAATATTTTACGCCAATAATATCTTAATTAATTGTTGAAATAGTTAAAAATATAGGGAATAAAAAATAATAATATAAAAGTATATAAAAAGGAATATACTGAGAACATTCTTTTTTAATGCAAAAAATGGTGCAGTGGGTTGGAGATGAATTACTGTTTGATGTGACTTTTGCACCATTTTAGTGCAAAATTTACACCATTTTAGTGTGATGGGTTGGAGATGGTCTAAAGCTGACCCATTTGCAGTGCTCATCAAAACCTATAAGATTGTTTGGGCTTTTTTGTTCTTTTTTAAGCACTTTTTAACTTGAGCAATCAATCAATACTTTCCTAGACCGAAATAATTTTAGTAGAGATGTTATTAATTACTAGGCGTCAAACTGAAAATAATCTTAAAAACGATCTATGTTGTGTGCATTGTTTAACAAATTTGCCTTAGTCCACTTCGGAGAGCTGAAGTTGAGGTCAGAAGAAAAGTGTTAAACGCAGTTTTGTTGCTTGCTGCTTTACTGGCTGGAACTATTTTTGTTGCTTGCTGCTTTACTGGAGCTGTTAAATGCAGTTTTGTTGGTTGCTGTATATTTTTTGGAAGCATTGCATTTATTTCCTTCATGGGTCTTGAATAGCAATTGCTTTGTAATATATTCAGGTCTCTTTCCGCACCAAAGTTTTTCATCCAAATATCAATAGTAATGGTAGCATTTGCCTTGACATCCTCAAGGAACAATGGAGCCCTGCTCTTACTATATCCAAGGTAATCTGGATCCCTGGCTGTTTCTTATTTTATTTACTCATGCTTGGTTCTTGATAGCAATTCACTGGGAAGTCCACATGATTGGATCTTATAGTACCAAAACATTAGAAGATTTCTAGTATAGTTATCATTTCTCAAAAGACATAACTTTTGTTATTGTCATTTGCAGCTCGCAACTCATTGGCTGAACCTTGTTGCTTATACCTCAATTAACATTTCTAATTTTCTTGTGTTTTTTTTGGTTGGTTACTCACTGCTGCTGAATGAAATTGCAGGTTCTCTTGTCGATCTGCTCACTTCTTACAGACCCAAACCCGGATGATCCTTTAGTACCCGAGATTGCTCACATGTACAAGAATGATAGAGCCAAGTACGAGGCAACTGCTCGTTCCTGGACTCAGAAGTATGCCATGGGATAGAACTCCACCAGTTCAAAAAATGGAAGATTACATTGTAGTTTGATAACTAAGTACTGTTTTATGAGACTAAGTGATGGGCAACAAAATATATTATTCCGTTAATGAATTATGATAATATGTAGCTAGGGACATCCATGTCTGGTGTCTGAAATTCTGAAATTTGATCTATTGAGTTAAAGTGTGAAAAATTATGGTTTTATTTTAAAGTTTTCTGGTTCTCAGCTGTCTTCTGCAGAAAAAGGTCAGCGTCTAAAAAATATTGATTTTATGTTGCATTGTGAGTTTTTTTTACTTCTCTTCTCAGGATATGCGGACATGACTTTTTATTGTTTGGAGATTGGCAAGATCCTTGGTATTCATCTACGTGCGTCAGAGATATGATGAGAATATGTTTCTTTTGAGTTTTGTTTGAGAATATGATAAGTA